GTGTGGACTTCAACTCCCAGAATTCCCCAGCCAGCATGCTGACTGGGGAATTCTGGGAGTTAAAGTCCTCATAAAGCATGCTGGCTGCGGAATTCTGGGAGTTGAAGTACTGAGAACCACTGATTTAACCAACCTTCACCCTGTCTTCCTGCATGCCCCCCTTCCGTCCTGTCCACGCAGCACTCACTTAGGCAGATGTAATTCAGCAGGAATCCGGAGATCCCTATGCCGCTCAGGAAGCGAAAGATGCAGTAGGCCAAAAAGCTATTTGAGAAGGCTGCGCCCGTTCCCATGGCAGCCACCATCAGCAACGACCAAATAAGGATCAGCCGGCGTCCGAATCTGCATGGTCAAGAGGGTTACAAGCAGGCTTAGGACATGTCTGTTCGATCCCAGTGTCTGGGGGGCCCGGATTAGTCTTGCATGCAATTGGAAGGGAGAGTGTAAAAAATCTCTTAAAAATCAACCCCCTCCTTGTCTTTTTTTAGCCAACCTGGCCCCTTCTGGATACGCTGAACGGCAATGTTCAGATTAGATAAAATGCACTCTTTATCCCCAGGCTTCCTGTCTTGCAGAATTCTGCCATCTGTGTCCCATTCCCTTTGCCCTCAGGGCTTGGCGTAAGGAGCCAACCCTGCGTGTGCAAAAGGGAAAAACACGCCCCAGAACCGATGCCATGCCAGGGAGAGGGTTGAGTGGTGAACTGATCACTCTGAATTCGTGCAGAGGCTGTAGGATCCAGCAGGGCTGGGAGCGGAGCTGGTCATAAACAGCCGTTCTGGATTCTCCCACCAATTTATGGGGTTAGGACTTCTCCAAAGTTTCTCCTTTCCTTGGAAGAACGGGCAGACTCTGCTGGAGTCCTTCTGGCGGTGCTACTGAAAAATCCCCCAGGAGAGGATTGTGCAGGCAGGGTGTCGGCGCCCACCCCCCTTGGCCCCTCCTCCCCAAACCCACCAGCTTCCAACTCCACCTAGGGAAGCTCTCCCAAATTCTCCACTCCTTTGCAAGCAGTTGGGAAAGCAAATTCTCCCTCTTCCGATGGAAGGTCAGCTGGTGGGGAAACGCGCAGGCTTGCCCAGTCCAGCTGCAGTCTGCGTAAAAGAAGGTTTTTCCAGCTGCAGACCCAAAAAGATGAGCTCTTGGGGAGGGGGGCTGCCTCGTAGGAGGAGGAGAACTTGAAGCCTTTTACCTGTCTGAGAGATCTCCCAAGATGAAGGCCCCCACCAGGACCCCCGCCATGAAGAGGGATTGGGCCAGGCTCTTCAGAGGCTGGAGGTTGCAGACCAGGTCCCACTGCACGGGCAAAGAAGGAGAAACAGCTGCGAGCCACTGGCTGCGTTCCCACAACAGCTTAATGAAAGCCCTGCTCGTGCGACCAGCTAAGCTTGGCTGCTATTAACCCACATTCGCTTTGGGAAAATGCATGTATTTATTTAAAGAAATTGCATGGCCGCCCCACTCGAACCGCACGACCCTGGGCAGCGTAAAGAAACAACCGAGTTAAAAGCAGCAAGCAGTCATCATAATGATAGGGCAGTGGGCTCTCCTTCGTACCTCCTCTGGATGGGAACACACTCACCCTGGCCCCCAAATTTGGGGAGGGGGGGAATAGCTATGTTTTTAAGGCCTTTCTAAACACCTGCAGGGTCAGGACAATCAGACTTCAGGGGGGCCTTTCCAAAGGGGGCACCACCATTGAAAGGCACACCGTTTTAAGTCATAATAGGTGGCACTGTTTCAAGGAGGGGACCCAAAACATGCCTACCCTCTTACAGCAAGTAGGACGGGCAGACGTCTTTAGGACAGTGTTTCTCAACCTTGGCAGGCCCAAGAAGGGGTGAGCTTTCAACCCCCCCAAAACCCCCCCCCTCCCCCCTGTCTCGGTGGGGTTGATGGGGGGGGGTTCGCCCACCCTTACCATCCGG